ATAATTGCATATTTAAATGATAAAGAAACCTGATGGAGATTTTAAGTTTTTGGAGTGGATCCTTCAGGATTTTTTAACCAAATAAATTTCCTCCATGATATTGTAAAGCAAAATTTAGTTACAATTTATCAACTAAAAAAAAATGATTTTTTTCTGATTTTCATGAATTTTAGAAAATACCACCAAGAAAATTAAAAAAGTCATCTAATTTTGAGTGGGTGGGTGATGCCAATGAAAATTTTACAAAATGTTCTTAATTTTTTTTAAAAATTTGAAGTTTGAGTTGATATAATAAAACCTGATTTTTTGAGAAAAAAATTGATTAAAAAAAATTTTGTCTTATAAAAATTTGAAATTTCAAAATTCAAATATCAATGTTTCAACACTGGTCAAAAATCAATGAAGCAATTTTATGATTAACTTAAAAACATCAAAAAATTTTTTAAGAGAACATGTGGAAAATGTAAAAACTTCATGGTTTGATATTCTTAAATGGGCATTTGAATATTTTGTGACATCCACTGTCATTATATTATATTCAAAAATTCAAATAAAATAAATAAACATTATGCTTACTTCAGTATCTTAAATAATAAACTTATAATTTGTAAAACATAAAATTTTTTTAAAAAAAAAAAAAATCTTTCATTTAATTCCAGCAACAAACTTTCACATGTTAATCATCCAGTGATGTTTGGTCTTAAATCAATTTTATTGGCGGAAGGATCATCTTATTTTTAAAAATTATTCTCTGCTTTGGGAATATTGATAATAATATTTTACTATTGCACTTGGTATTAAATACAGCTATATAAACATTTTATATACTAAATAAATGAAAGCAGTAATTTTAAAGGACTAAAATGTGTTTAAATTTAAAGAAGAATAAAATGTCTAAAAACAGTAACTTCTGCAAAAAAAAAAAAAAAAAAAAAGATTAAAAAATATAACTTTATTATATAAATTTAAAAAAATAATTTAGAAAATATAAACAGTTCCATAACAAGTTTGTTTATAAAAAACTTATTCCTTGTATTGATTTAACAAACAGAAAATGCGAATATTCTCATGAAAATAGATAATTTTTGAGGTAGCAAAAAAATACCCTTTCATTAAATCTAAACAAATCTCTGTTTAACGAACTGGAAAATTTTATTTTGAATCTAAAAAGAAATCTTTAAACTTTTATGTCAATCTCTCCTGGTTCAATTAAGTGAATAACTATTTTGACAATATGTCTTAGAGATTTTTCTGTTCTTTGCACAACAGAAATATAATTGTATATTGGATGCTGAGAATACCATTGACTAAACTGATTCATGACCATTGACAATATCTCAGAGAAAAGATTTTACTAGTAAAAAAGACATACTACTTAAAAATCAAAATAAATTTTAAATTTCAATATAAAATATTGTATTGAATATTTATTTTTAATTTTGGCAAAACAGGACAGGAAAATAGGTCAGGGGAAAAGCAACGCAATTACCTACATAAAATCCAACATGGTTTTAATGGTTGAAAAAATATGGATTAAAAGATATTAAAAAGGCAAAAGATCTATAAAAGACAGAAATATATTAGAGATAAGTGGTTCTCAACTCCTTTTGACTCAATACACGACATTTTTAGAGGAGACATTTTCCCAATAACTTTTCTTTTCTAGATTGTCCATCTCAAAAGGTTATTGAAAATAATATAAACTGAAAATTTTCATTCTTTTCAGAAAAGTATAGAAAATTTACACATGGTTTATTTTTTATAGAACTTTTACAAATAATTGTTAAAAATGGTTTGATTTTTTTTTTTTTTTTTTTTTTTTTTTGTTGAAATATCTAACAAATAATTTATTTTAATTTATATCTACAAGGTAACCAAAAAAGTTCTGTCCGTTTTTTGATTAGTCATTGAATGAAGTTGAAATATATATGAAATGCGTGTAGCAATTGTTTTCAAATTCGGACAGCCGGAAGCAGGAACATTATAAAAACACGCGCACAGTGCCCGGCCATCAGTTATAAACCGGACAGCTGTGAGAAGGATGGAAGTGTCTAGAGATCTCGTTCAGGGCTGTTTACTTCACGACTTCAAAGTGGGCTTATCAGCAGCTACATCAAGTCGCCGCATATGTCAAGCGTTTGGGGATAGTGCTGTGGATGAACGTACTGCAAGGCATTGGTTTCGAAAATTCAAGTCGGGAGATTTGTCTCTCCATGATGAGCCTCGCAGTGGACGACCACAGGTCTTGAATGACGGAGTCCTGAAGGCGGCCATTGAAGAGGACAGTAGTCTAACGTGTGGTGAACTTGCAAGACAATTCAACGTTTCCGATGAAACAGTTAGACTTCATCTGCACCGCCTGGGTAAGACGTACAAACTGAGCAAGTGGGTTCCGCAAACGCTGTTGGAAGTCCACAAGGGACAACGAGTGGCAGCCTGCATATTGCTGCTTTCTCGCCACCGTACCGCATCCTTATTCAATCGAGTGCTTACCAGTGATGAAAAGTGGGTTCTGTACGAAACTCCCAAGCGTTCCAGACATTGGTTATCTCCTCAATATGCTGTCCCTCACACCGCAAGACCGCCTATGCACCCACGCAAGATTATGCTTTGTGTCTGGTGGACAGGTCGTGGTTCATTATGAACTGTTACCAACGGGCCAAATGGTCACTGGAGACCTATACTCACAGCAAATTGAAACGTGTGCAACAGGCATTGCACCAGAAGCCAGCACTGGTGAATCTCCAAGGTGTGCTTCTCCTCCATGACAATGTAGGCCGCATGCCATGCGACTGGTCAGGGATACCGTACAGCAACTTGGGTGGGAAACTTTGTGCCATCCACCTTATTCACCTGATCTTGCGCCATCCGATTACCGCCTCTTCCACTCCCTGGATAATCATCTTCGTGGGAAATCCTTCACCAATGAAGCAGACTTGCGCAAATCTCTCACGGACTTCTTTTTTTCAAAACCCCCCCGAGTTCTACCGCAAGGTCATTGAACAGCTGAAGACACGTTGGCAGAAGGTGCTGGATGCCGATGGCGACTACTTCGAAGACTAAATATAAGTTACACATACTGTGAAGTGTTTTCTTTTTTTTTCCTTTAAAAACGGACAGAACTTTTTTGGTTACCTTGTATATATTAAGTAGCAACGAGAATCAAACAAATTAATATTGTGGCGTGTGTGTGTGGGGGGGGGATAACACCCTAAAATAATAATAATGATAATAAAGGAGAATATGCTGGAAAACAGGGAAAAAAGCGTTTTCAAAAGAACCAAGATGTTAAAAATGCTGTAAAGACTCTGAAATGTAAAAGTTACAGATTTTATTTAGAAAACGAAATACAATCTTTTTTTTCTCTTTAAGCGTACAAAAAAAGATATCAGATTATTAATAGAAAATGGAATTCAGGATGCCTTGATCTAAATGTTAATTTTATCGATAACAAGACAGCATGAATCTATGTAAAGTTTACCAAAATTGCTCAGAGCTGTTAATAGATAAACTTAGAACAATGGCAATACGGTCAGGGTATTGAAAGATGAAACGAATGTGAAGTTTTAATTTAGAAGTGTGTCGGGAAATAGACCGATCACGTTCCTAATAAAAGTATGTCAGCACGTTCACACTAAAAAAAAAATACATCATCAGTTCTCTATGTAAAGTAGAGCAGAGTTGGGTTAAAGACAGTGAGGAAGTGACCTCAGAGATTGGAACAAAACGCCCGCTAACATGTGCTGTTGATATAAGTACTGCTGCTCCTGCTACCACTAATATTACTACTACTATTACTACTACTGAGGATGGGAACATCGACGGTTGTAATAGTTGTGTTAAGAACAGACCAAAAGGCGTTAAAACGAAGCCACCTCTCTCCTTTAACGAAATTACACGAAGTATTTTCTTTTGTTTTGTTTATCATTCATATACAAGAGACATTCAGCATTTTGTCACGAGAATTGTATTATTATATGTATTGTTGATGTTATATATATATATAAAACTTTTGTCCCTCTAAAATCGGATCGACTTTGCCATATTTATTTGCGGTTAACCCGATTTCCCACCCAACAAACTTACATACATACAGGACCAACGGCCGGTCTTGTGGATGACGTCGGCCCAGTAGGGTTAGGATACGTTGTCACATGGCGGCCTTGACCATAGATCGCGTTACAACTGACACCGTGCGAGAGGATCGGCGTTACAATAGCAACATCTACTGCTTAATATTTCAGGATTTTGCATTGTCTTCCCTAGTCTGTTTGTAGGTCTGCAGCAGCTGCGCATGAAACTTCTCTCCATCCAAGCCCCTACGGTTGAACATTAACAGAAGACGAACTCTACAAACCTAGCGTGACTAATCAATTGCCAACGCTATAATTGATTTATTTCTTACGGTTTGTGAGTTATTTAAAGCAGAATCCTACTTTTAGGCTGTCAGAATATTTTTCTTTCTCTGTAATTGTTGTCTTAAAAGCAGAGCATAGTGGTTTAGAGATTGCTCGCTTCCTGAAAGTTACACGGTCATTTGTTGTCAAAGTTCGCAAAGAGCTGAAAGCCGCAGAAGAGGATTCTACAGTAGTATCTAAACGTAAAATGCCCGTTAAGGGTCCTAATACAACCAGAACACCCTAATTTGTATGAAAGGCACAGAAAATTATCAATAAGACGCCATTACTAAGGAGCTCAAGGTTTCACTCAGAAGAATTATGTTTGAGGACATTTGATACAAGTCATATATAATGCGGAAAGACCAATTCATGTCTGCCAAGACGAAAGATAACCGTCTGATATGCGCAAAGAAAGCCTGTAATGGTTTGGCTTTTTTCTGATGAGAAAAACTTTGAACAGAACCAAAAGTTCAACCAAAGAAATGGCAGATGATTCCACAGGGACAATACAAAGACGTACAAAGTTCCCAACAACTGTAATAGTTCTGAGAGGCGTGAGCAACGAGGTAAATGCCATGCCGCCTTTCCACGGAGCTTAAGGGTCATATCACGTCGAAACGCCTGTTCTTGTACGATCACCGAATTTAAGTAATGTTGAGTTTGGTCAGTACTTAGATGGGTGACCACTTGGGAATACCAGGTGCTGTAAGCTTGGATGTGCGGGTGGTGTAAAGAATAATTGGAAATTGGTGAGCCGAGTTCAAATTCCAGACCGGTTAGTTATATTCACGTACACGCAAGTATTCATGGGATTGGTATGAATCCAATCTTTCCTTCCCCAGCTATAGGTTAATTAATAGTATTTATGTCAGTAAAAATCATTATTATTTCCCTAAATATTTTTTACTATCTAAAAAATATTTCCTGGTTTTAAATAACCTGCAAGGTTGATAATCCGTAAAAAAAAATCAGTCATTAAATGCAACGGACAAGGTCTGTCTATTTAAGTTTTTGATTTTCTTTTTTCAGTTTTCGAATAAGATGTACAATCGAGATTAAAATTCTTTTATTTTTGTTCAATTCATTTCGAAATAAGCATAAAATTTGAACATGCAAAACTTGTTATAAAAACCACAAAGACGAGGATATTAGTCGGAATAAGGACAATAATTCATCTGAGAATTTGTCACAATATTATCAAATCTTTTTTTATTTCTTTTTCTAGGACCTTTGTCAGGATGGCTGGTGTGTAAAACTTCAAATCGATTCACAATCATGTTTGGAGGATTGTTGATGGTGATTGGATATGTATCTTGCTATTTTGTCTACAGTGTAAAGTTAATGACGTTTACCTACGCCTTAATAGGTATTTCCCCCCTTTTATTTAATTATTATAATTGTTTTATTACATGAAAGTTTATATTAGGCAGCCCCCCCCCGCGCACCAAAAAAATATGCATCTTCTTTTTTTTTTTTGTTTTAATCAACTGATTTTGTCAAGAACTGATTTCCGTAATGTCCATCGTTTGTTTTTTTTCGACGTGGTGCAGATACAAATGTAGCTTTGCTGATACTGATGTATGCATCTAACACGTTTGCTGTGGATGCAGTTCAACACAGGTCTCTAGTTTCTCACCATCAATGCTTATCATCTGTCCTTTACGAGGAGCATGTGAATGTGACTTATTTCCCAGTAGAGAGCCTCCTAAACTACATTTGAGCACTACGGCCATGAACTTTTACTATAAACGGCACATATCCTAAGGGCTGCTGCAGTTGCTTTTGTTCCAACTTTAAATTCGTGCAATGAACAAAATGATCTTTTAGCGGAACCCTTACTGAGGCATAACTGAGCTGAGTATAACTCGTTACTGCTGTAGGTATACGCTTGTGAAGTTTATAGTAAGTGTCTAGGCTTTAGATTGCTGAAAATTCTAGTTTTAGCAACAGCTTGACAGTTGACTTCCGTACTTTATAATTATAGACTTTTAAAGATCGTCTTCCATAAAAGTGGAACAGATGTATTTCTCTAATTTTTCTTTAACTGAAAATCAATTTTTGTTATTTATTTACTGTTTTAAATGTTGGGCTGATTTGAATATCGTGCGTTGAGCCGGAAATGATTTTTTTTTCTGGCAGGCCTTTGTTGGTTTTTCATTTTCAGCTGCCAGAAGGAAACATTTTGTTCAGATATTTTAAAGGGGCTCTTACAATCTCACTCGTTACGACTGTAGGTATACACATCCAAAAGTTATCTAGTAGTAAATTTCTACATTTTAGATTGCTGAAAATTCAAAGGTTTTCTCTTTTTTTAGACTGATGAAAAAGGTGAAAATGTCGAACATTCGCGTCCTGGCAGTAATATTTTAAAATGCTCAATGGAATCCCTTCCTAATATAGATGCTGATGTTAATAATTTTCTGATCGATTCTTCAATCCTCATCATGAGAAGAAATAGGAAAAAACGAATTTCTTTCTTTAATGAAATGAACTGAAAATGGCGTAGAAAAATCTGTTTTTAATGCGCCAATAAAATAAAGCAACAATAGCGACACCAAATACCCAGGCAATCTGGTACCGCTTTCACTCAATTATTTTCAATCAACTCTTAAATTGTCTTTCAGTGGCTCAGTGGCGTAGCTAATGTTTTTGCTGCCCAGGGCGGCCCTCAAGTTTGCCGGCCCTCCCCAGAAGGAATAAAATATTACAATGCACATCATTAACCCATTAATGTTTATATATATATATATATATATATATATATATATATATAATGGATATCAAACACTTAAAATACATAGGTAATAATTCTTAGGGGTGTGTTTATGGTGTAGGTGTGTGTTTAAAATGTGATTTGGTGTATTTGACAATATGATAAGGGATTATTTAAATATTGGCATACATGAAAGCCGTGTTGTATACATTTGTGTGTTGTGTCGTGCTTTTCTTTTTCCATTTTATTGTACATGGACTTTTCTTTTCTCTTTTGATTCCTACTGGAAAAATAGTTTCGGTTTACGAACATTTCGGGTTGCGAACGGCCTTCAGGAACGAATTAAATATATATATATATGTTTGTTTACTTTTTTTAGATTCATGATATTTTCACTATGACTCTCATTGTTACAATGTATATATTATAAAATATAAATGGAAAGCTTTTTAGAATATATCTATTTTTGAGTAAATTATATACGACACGTCAATCTATATATAAACGGCTCTCGTATAAATATAATTTCTGATACGTTTTGAAATAAAGTCATAAATTTAATAGATATGCACTAGGGAATTAATTCGGATCTGACTTTGGACTTTAAAGTGCATTCATATCCTGTTAAATTTTAATAAATACATAAGTTTAGAGAACTATAGATATATAATTTCGGATACTTTTTTTAAAATCGTAATGAATAGAGATATACAGTGGAGAATTAATTCGGATCCCTTTTTAATTTTACTTTGGTTTAAAGAACCTTAGTATTCTGTTAAAGTTTAATAAATACATCCAGGTTATGGAGTATTAGGACAATGGTTTAATATACTTTATAAATAAGTTTCTCTGAATATCTAAAATGCAAATCTCTTCGGTAATTTAATTTAAATTTCTTGGGGAAATAAAAACTTATACTAACTTACGTTAAATTCTAAATCTTTCTCTAAATTCTGAATATTATTTAAAACGTCCTTAAATACTATTTTTTAATATAAATTATAAATGGTTTGTTAAATTGAATATATCCGCATTAGAATCTTAGCCGGTGAAAAGGCCAGGCAGTGCGTTGTTTCTAATTCTCATTGACTTAACAATACTTTCATTTAACCTCTTCCTTATATGCCATATTAATGTAGCGGGTTAAATCTGAAATCAGGAGATTAAATTAGGTCATCGCAAACCTTAAAGTCTGCTGTTAAAATCTTAGGGTCTTAACATTACTTCACGCCACCCTTACATGACCTTGAACTTGTATCTTTCTTTTCCCACTCTCTAAATAAGATATCAGTATTTCTTGATTTTAACCTGGAGTAATTTTTTCCGTTTATATGTGGCTTGTGGGTCTGAAAGAACTATTTTTTATAGCTTTTATGAAATAAAAATTGTTACCTATGCTTTTTTTAAGTGTTTGATATTAATTAATTAATAATTTTGCTCTGTCTCTGACATAGAGCTCTCCCTAGATTGGAAATTCCATACGGATTACTATATATATATATATATATATATATATATATATAGTGGTAGTTACTTACTGTGTCCATTTGTTGCATGCTTGGCGGATTTTTTTTTGCTTCAGGATCGCCTGCCGGACTAGTACTATTTCGGTAGGGTCTCTTGGGCGAAGTATGATGTTGGAAGACCGAAACTTGTCATGACCCCAAATCATAACATCACGACATTCTGAATTCCATTTTCTATTAATAATCTAATATCTTTTGTACGCTTAAAGAGAAAAAAAAGATTGTATTTCGTTTTCTAAATAAAATCTGTAACTTTTACATTTCAAAGTCTTTACACCAGTTTTAACGAGGCGATCCTGTGCACTCGTTGGAGTGTTTTCATGACGTATATTCAACGACGAAATTATTCGTATATCCCCCCATTTTTATCCATTTCTCAAAATCTAATGCGCGTGTGATGCCAGTTTTTTTCCGTGTTTCTGTTAATGTGGTATTTATAACTCCTCACTGATAAATTATGAAATAAAACTACAATTGTGTTTATTTATTTATTTTTAATAAAAATGGAGATATGTTAAAAAACAAAGATGTTACTTCTTTTTTTCTAAATCGGAAAACCTTAACAACTTTTTACGATATTAAAAGAACGATAACTTCGTAGTGGTCTAATTGTTTTCTCGCCCTATGTCAAATGTCGGGGTTACCATTTGTAGTTTGGAAAAGTGCGTGCATGAATATTCTTTTAACGTCTGACCACTCATGGTCGAGACGAGAATCCTTTTACAACTATATCTTGTAGTGAGAAAAAAGAAGAGAACGAGACAAGAAGTCGCCCAGTATTTATAGTATAGACCCCTAGTGACAACTTGTTTTTGTTTACTTTATATACCCTCTGTTTTATTTAAAAAGAAAAAACAAAAAACACATTGTACATATTTTTGCAATAATTATTTCAATTCTAACAAGTGAAGAGTCATAAATTAAATGCCACGTTAACAGAAACGCCATTCGTTTTATTGTAAAAACATGCTATGTCTTTTTAAATTATTTTGTTTTATGTATTTGAAGTTATTACAGTGTAACCCGGATATAAGAGAGTTGTCGGGACCGGAGAAGAATTCTCTTATATCCGGGTTTCTCTTATATCCGGGTTTGGTCTAATTTATATACATTAACACAGGCTCTAATTTGGGACCAGAGAAAATCTCTCTTATATCCGGGTTTCTCTTATATCTGGGTCTCTTATATCCGGGTTACACTGTATTTATTAGCAATGTAGTAAACTAAAAATTAAAAGTCCAATAAAATTAATTTCACTTTTGAAAACTGAAATAAGTGTCATCATAATTTTAATTCTTAGTCTATTTTTTGCTTAATAAAACTTAATTATCTAAACAAAAAATAAAACATTGCATTGTTTTATTACCGTGAAAACATGTAAATTGAAAAATTGAAAAAAATTGCCCATTTTTTTTTTTTTGAGTTTAAATCAAGTTTCTGCAATTAAAAAAGTATATTAATTTTCAATTTT